ATTAACCAATGGTATTTTTGCAATATCACGGGATGATCTACAAAAATCAGCCAATTACAATGAAAGCCCGCTATGCTAGTGTACTCTTATACCTGAAAAAAAAATTTATTTGATATGAACACAGTACTGTAAAATATATATTAAGTCATTTATTACTTTAATTATTCCGCTTCTTCATTAAACATTCGAGCTGCTAAACTTGCCGGATATAACTATGATTTCCCGAACCTAACCGTTGAGACATGTTATTTGTCCTGTCATGTTCTTCGATAAATGAGATACATTATCCGTTGATTTAGAGAATCGGAAGGTTGAATGCAAAGAACTGCCCAACATATGACTAGATTCGGATAATAAAGAATTTGTCCTTTGATTAATGTTACTATCATATATAGATTTTTTTTTCAATTTTATAATATCTTTAAGCGCATCCATATAGTCATTAATTAATTTTGCTAAAAGAAAAACATGCGATAAAAATTTTATGTATATATATATAATCCTTTTATGACGTAGTTATAAAATGGCCATTTACATAAATTTAATTAATAGTTAAAGTTACGCTATAAATTAGAGGTCTGTAACCCGGGCCCGTGCCCATGCCCAACAGAAGGTACAGGCATGGGTATAGGCACGGGTACAAAAACTTGGCATGGGCATGGGAATGGGCACAAAAATTTAATATTTATTTATTAATTAATTGTGCCTGGCACCTTTTTGGCACCTTTTTGCCTAGCATATTATGCCGTGCCTATATAGTACCTGGCATTTGTGCCCATGCCCCTGGCATTTGTACCCATGCCCATAATAATGCCTGGCACTTTTGTGCCTTAGGCTTGGGCATGGCATGAGGCACTAGTGCTTGGCCTGGTGCCAATATTCCTGGCATGCCCATTTGCAGACCCCTACTATAAATTAATGTTACAAACGTGTGAAATTATATAATGCATACATAAGACTACCCTAATGCAAAAAAAGATGATACTAACATTTGCCTTATTTAAAAAACACAAATTATGTGGTATGTTTTAATATGATTTTTGACAACCACGTCAAATTCACATAATAATTAAATTCCGTATCCTGTCTGAAGAATATCTATGGTTAATCATATTATTCCATTATCGGAAAATATATAGTCAGGGCCCGCAGATATTGTTATTAAGAAAATGATTTTAGGGACTTGAATCCAAAAAATTTCTTGTCGAGAAAAAGAGTACCTAGTAAAATCTGTGGACACATATAATAAGAAAATTTTGCTAGAAAAACTCTTTTTCTTATTATTAATCGAACCCAATCAGATTTTTACTGGGTCTCTATGGTACTTAAGTCAATTTAATTAGATTATCGAACAACAATTGTCTTAACATTATTAATTAAAGCTTGAGATGTAAATTCAAGATAACAAAGCAATAGAAAAAAAATTTAGAGTATGATGTTACAATAAAAAAAAAAATTATTAATTAAAGGCCAAAGTTTCTATATTATTTAAAGCTATTAAATATAAATAAGCTTCTAAATTTAATTTAAAATATTTAATTTAAGCATTTCTTTATGGAGAGATTAATTGTTGCAAGTATATGGAACGCGCAAGAAATTATTTGGAGTGGAAGAATCAATATCAGTTAAAATATTTTTTGTTGCCAAGTTTATAATAAATTCTTTCATATTAGATGGAGATAAATTTCCGGTATTTGCAATTACTAAAGCAATTGTTCCTGTAACTAATTAGCCAAAAAAATAGATGAACCAAAAAAAATCTTTAAATAAAAAGAATATAAAAACTAGTAAATAAAATCAATTACAAACCATGAGGCGCTGCCTGACTGGTTCCTGAAAGTATATTAGTCTCATTATATATTCCAGCAGAAAGGATTTTACGACCTTTTATAAAAAATTAAAATTATTTTTTTAACATAAATTAAATAAATGAATATTTTTTTTTAACACTACTGTATGAAATTCAATTATTACCTGGAGCAAAAATGCTAACACATGAACCAATGTTTGTAAAGTCAGTTGCATTATCAGAAGTAGCTTCAGTAGCACCAACTGTTATAGCGCTAAGTGCAGATGCAGGAGAGTAATTGCAAGCATTATCATGATAATTATTTCCAGCAGAAACGACAACATGAATACCAATTTTTGTTATTGAATTAACAGCATCGTTGAAAGAATTTGAAACAGGACCACCTAATGACAAACTATAAAATAGGTTAAATAAAAAAATTTTTTTCAACCTTCAAAAGAATAATTATGAGCGAATAAAACATTACTTGATCACAGCTTTATTGTCATAACTTGTTGAATATTGTGTTGATACATAGTTCAATCCTAAAATAACATCAGAGGTTGAACAAGTTCCGTTAGCGGTACAAACTTTAACGGCGATTAGAGATACTTGGTTTGCTACACCGAAATTTTGACCTGAATTAATTTCAGAATTTTGAAGATCAGACAAGTAATAAAAATTTTTTATAACAGTGCATGAATACGTAATTAATTACCTCCAACCTATTAAGGAAATAATTAAATTTAAAATTTTTAAGTTTAAAACTTGATCTGGATACACGACATTAGGATTTACTAATGAAAATATGTAATATTTACTATTCCTGCAACATGTGTTCCGTGACTTGAGAAAAAAAAAAGGAAACATTATATACTGCATTTGTAAATGTAAGAAAATATTAATAATAAATAAATAAAATAGAAAGAATACCCATTGTCATCTGTGGCTGAACAACCTTCGCAGATAGTCGTACCGAATGTTGCTCGTCCTCCAAACTCATCATGATCAGTTTTAATGCCTCTATATATCGATATATCGATATAGTACACAAATAAATAAGTATGCTGCACATTGATTTTAATTACTGTAACACAATAACTCACGTGTCAAGAATATAAACTTTTACTTGATTGCCAGCGGTAGAAGGATACATATATTCTCCATTTAATGGAAAGTGTTCTTGATCAATACGATCTAAATTCTATTTTTATAATATAAGGTTTAAAATAATATATCAAATATTAGCAAAAATTTAAAGAATATATATCATAATTGTTTACTCGAATAGTTCTAGATCTAAATTAAAAAAAATATATATATACGCACAGGATTAGGATTTTGTCTGGTACTAAGACAAGAAGATGAATTTTTATCTTTTAAAGTTTGAATGCCATAAGATGAATCTTTGTTTTTTAAAATATGAATGCCCATTAAAGAATCCTTCTCGACATTAATAATGCCATTAAGTTTAATTAATTCATCCACATCACTACTTCCAAAATATCCGATGTAAGCATAAAAATTTCCGAAACTAACGTCTTGAATAATTCCATTATGCTTCAAATCCGATTGAATATTAGAAAAGTCCACAATAGTTTTAATTGTTTTATTACAGTGATTTAGCAATGTAGAGAAATTTTTTGTTGCACTTGCTGAGGAAAATTGTATAATATATTTTTGCTGTTCTTCGGCATCATTTTGAGTTAAAGGACATGTAGGTACTGATTTGACCAATGTGAATAAGCAAATAAAAATAAAGAATGTATGAATTTTAAAGATATCTGAAATAATCATTTTCCATTCTCAAGCCAAAGGGATCAATGATATGTGATGATTTGTAATACGTAGGTACTAAATGGTCGAAATAGAAAAATTATATTGAACGATTAAAAAATAGAGTGAATATTAAAAGTGTATGAACAAAAAAATCCAACTGAGCTTGAAAGAACTGACTTAAAAGATCAATTTCTACTTCGTATTTATTAGATTCATATTATTTTACTAATGTTATACAGAATTTACTTGCAATTGAGCACAAATTTCTGGTGTTAATTGTTTATAATATTGCGTACGAAAAAAAACATGTATGCATGGATACGTATGTAGTGAAAGTTGGTTAGTAATCCTTTTCGGACTAATTCGTGTATTTTAAATTGAAATTTAGCTTTAAACGTGCATTATTTTTCCGTAAAAAGCGTTGTAAAATAATATACTATTATTAGGTTCTGACTATAAATATTGATTTGTTCAAGATACATTTTACCAATTTTCCTTCAACAAGACGACAGGTTAAAGATTTGATTTACATGTACACAATGACAAGTATATTAGGGGTTTCGAAGTTAAATTCAGAGTATCTTATTTTATTTTTCCGATTTATAATTCAACATAAAGTCGTCCTCCCATACAGTCACACAGTTGGGCACATAGTAAATTTTTTTAAAAATGTGCTTTTAAAGGGGTTGTGCTTATATGGAGGTTTTTTTCTTATCAATTAAAGCATAGTTTGGTCTAAATAAAAATTTGATTACATATGATGTGATTGTATGGGAGGTGACTATATGGAGGGCGACTGTAGTAAAAATGCTATTGGAAAAAATCCTATTTATTTTCGAAATGCGTCACTTATTTGTTAACTTTGAAACCCCAATTGTATCACATTTCAGTATTAAAGCATTTGTTTCTCTTTGTTTCTCTTTGTTTATTAAATTCTTACACAAAGTGAGAACCAACTCTATTCAGTACCACTAGAAATTTGATCTAAGGTTTTGTTTACCTTTTTTTTTTATTTTTAGAGGTATTTGGCGCAAAAACATCAATATTGACACATTTGGATCATTGTTATTTACCAAAACAAAATCGGTACACCGTTATTGACCCATTAAAAAAAATCTGATCGTCATCCATGAGTTTTTAATACATTCACCCATTGAACCGAAAATGAAGCAAAAACTGAAAAATCGAAATTGATGCTGATGTGAGTTGAAAGAGCCAAAGAAGCTCCTGTAGTTAACTTTACCAGTGCACAAGTATCATTATTAAATCCATTATAGCCTTCATATGGCGTATGACATTATACGACAATATTCTGATATTACAGTATGTCGCGATGCGACAAAGATTTTTTATATTTTTTAAAACAGTCAATAACGATGTACTGATTTTTAGTTAGTTAATAACGATGGTTCAAATGGGTCAATATCAATGTTTTTGCGTATTGGGCCAAAATCCCGACAAACAGAATCCTGACAAAAATTGACTGGAATTATAGCTAATGAAGGCTAACTTAACGTTTTGCTTGTCGAGATTTTGAACAAAACCTTTTAGATGTTTTTTGAAAAATGTGATACTTTTTTATAATACAGTTATTATAATATACTTATTCGATATAATTATTTCTGTAGTCATAGACTTTAGGTTTTTCAGTTCACTATACGTGCTATACCCCATTCCTTTACAGAGACGAGGATTAATTGGAAAAATAAGATGAATACGTATTTATCTTTGACAATAGGGAAAATTGGATTTCCTCAAGCGTTTATCAAGTTCATAAGTATTTCAATATTTTATTAATGTAAATTAGATTAATTAGACTCGGTTTGTCATCAATAGATCAGAAAACATTTAATTTATCAATTATAGATTCGACATCTATCAGTAATAGATTATTCATATCATTCTGTCAATTTAACATCTTGCTACGGCAATCAAAATTAACGAACAGGATATATTTGTTTTGACAATAATACTATGAAATAAATTGATTCACAAATGTGTAATTGTATAATGTAATACTAAAAATAATTAATGATTTTTAAGGGTTACTCAATATTTGTCACTGCAAACAGTTAAAATACGTGAAATTAGATACTTGGAAAAGATAATTTACGCATATTTAATGCGGTGATAGAAATTCAGTAGAAATAAAATATAAAAACGTCAACCTAAATTATTATTCTAACACTATAAATTTCTCTATATTCGTATCTTCGATAAAATTATATCGGAGCTAAAATTTATTACATAAAAAATTTCTTTATACATTGTAATATTTAAATAATCCTAGATGATTCTAAATATAGAAAACAACATTAATTCTAAATTTGTTTTGATCTTGTTAAATTGTAAAACAAATTAATTTTTTGCATTATAGGTGGTCTGATAATTATTAATTCTGTAATTACAGAATTACGTTAAGTATTTTTGTTTGTATGATTAAATTATAACTAGCGAGAAATTATATGTACATGAACATGTGCATTTAAAAGGGAAATTCATTTTTTCTTATTCTAACTAATATTTTTAATTTGCTTGCATTTTTTAACTTTGATAAACTTTGATAAACTAAATATACAGTATATATATACTGACTCGGATTAAATTTTTTAGTTGATCAACTTTTTTAATAGATTATATGTCAATTCTATCACTATGGTTAAACTATAAAAGTGATACAGTATATGCCGTATTTATCGGACGTGGGTACCCCCATAGCGTGTACCCTCTACCAGTTTTAAAGAGCTGAATGCATTTATACTCGGGGTACATAAGTATGATATATATAGTAAAATATTTTGTTCAATACAGTGTAGAAGTACCCGGGTAAAAAGATCGAGATATGTAAATACCCGGGGTACCCACGTCCGATAAATACGGTGTATTTTATTGTTATCACTGTTTTTTAGAATTTGATTATCATATAGTGAACCAAAAAAAAAAAAGGTTTAATAATAACAGAATCAATATTTAACAACGCTAAATTTTAGAAAATCTTTAAATAGTCAAAAAAGTCATCTAAACTTTGTGTAGGCACAGTAAATTTCATTTTACACAGATCCAAGAATGCCAATTTGTGGACTTTTCATGTAACGGCAGGATGTTCAACGGCCTATTAAAATCATATATATAGTCAGGGCTAATGATCATCACCAGGGATGATGATTTTCTGCTGTGCCGGGATTTCCCGGACCTGAATTTGCGGCCAATACTTTAGTCAATACTGCGATATGCTGGAATTCTGTGATATTCTGTG